TGGAAGGCCTTCAACCTCAGTCAGTCACCCTGAAGAAAATCACAATCTAATGTGACTGGCACCAGACATCCAACTTTATTTACTTGTTTTTAGGCAAAGTGTTAAACGTTTACTGACATCACTGTGAATTGTATCCTCATTTTCTCCAGCTTTTCTTCCAACTTTCTTCCATTTTCTTCCATCCTGTTAATTTTTCTCAACTTACTGTTATTTTAATTCCGACTAGCCTGTCCTATTTAAAGTCATTTTTGGCTATGTTTTTATCTGTTGCCATAGTAACCATTAGACATTACTTTGTCTAGCTGTCTCGGGGTCATCTCCTGATGTCTTTTGGTTTTCCTCATCTCACCTATCTTTACTATGTTTTGTCAATATGTTTTAAATACTCGTAGTCATTTTTAGCATATTTTGGGGTAATTATTTACTAGTTTAGGCCACATTTCTAGTTGTCTTTTTATGAACTTGTGGTCATTTCTTGTGCTACAGTAATAAAGTTTTTTGTGCAAAAATATTTTTAAAAAATGGTTGTAGCGTTTGGGCTGTTGTCTAGCAATAAAAATGTCATAAATTTGGCAAAAAAATTCAGTTTCTCCTACTTATTGTTAGATTCGGTGTAAAACATATGGAAAACCTGAGGTCACCTTTTGAGAAGAGTATCATTTTTCTACCTACTCCTGAGGAATCCAAACTAGACTCTTCCTGATCCAAATCTCGATGCCCGGATGAAAACTAAAAACCGTTTAGATTGCAATCAAAATGCTGTTTACTTGTGTTGGTCCCAAACAGCACATAATCAGTCAGTACCGCATTAAACTGAATCATTGTTTACAGGTTTTGGATTTTCTCTGAGAATCCTCAAACGCTCCACCTTCAGCTGGTTGGCTGCTGTACCAGGACGAGGTCCTTCAACGTTCAACTGTCATTTTTAATTCATCAGAAAGAGAAGGATATTCCAGAGAGAGTTACAACACAGGCTTCATCTGAGAGCAGCTCTGTGCTACATACCGATGATTTCATGGCTACGGCTTTACTCCCTGGATCTTCTCCACGCCTCTGAGATAAAAGAGGAGACAAAAATCCTGTCAGAAAAGAATTAATTTCTAAAACTAATTACATTTGAGGTCGTCTTTTAGTGAACTTCTTGGTTAGGTTACTTTTGGCAAACTTTTAGCTATACTTCTTTGCTAACCTTTAGCTTTGGCAAACTTTTAGCTATACTTCTTTAGCTATAACATCTTATTTTTACCTCTTGCTTGGCTAACGTTGAACAATCTTTGCACCACAGTTCACCTGGATAATTCCTTTTTTACAGTTTGTTCAGTACTTTTTGACTCACTTTTTTGTTTGGCTATTATTTGGCTATTAAAAGAAATCTTTCTTTACATTCAATTCCATGAAACGTCATCTTTTCTCACATCTAACTTTTTCTGCATGAATGCTGATAAATCATTTGTTCCACTTTCCAAAGCAAAACAAAGAAATGAATCCTTTTGCTGTTCCCAGTATCCATGAGACTTAAGTGGTGTCTTTTTTTCTGTTGTCAACGATGATGTGCTGAGTTACTGAGTGATGTTCGGTGAAATCGGCCTGTTGCATACCTGACAGTCGGCCATGTGTCTGTCTTCAGAAGAAGAAGAAGGAGCTTCACTAAGAACCTGCTGTCATCGTCATCATCATTGACATCATCATCATCATCATCACTGCAACCATCAGTTTAGATAAACACAGTATAGAAACGCCTGCAGGGCTCTTTGACTTGGTTAAAGAGATACAAAAAACAGAGATAAAATCTAATTGTATTTCACACTGTGGCATTTTGGGAAATTTCCACAGCAATTTTTGCTAGCTTTTAACTTTTCATGACCTTAACTTTAATGTTACTTCAGCCACATTATATGATGATATTAATAATATTCAGTTACTAAATATGTAATAATGCCGTCACTCAAATTCCAGAGAAGATATACATTTTCTTAAGGGTATTTTGCCTCTTTTTTCTTCTAAATACCATCACAAGGCTTAAATCCCATACTGAGAAGTTGGCATCACTAAATGCAGACAATAATCCAATTAAATCCGCAGCACATTTCTGTCCCCCACATACATTTTTTTCCTTCTGAGGCTTCATTTACTGACTCATTATGTAATTTATTCCCAGTTCCTCCCAAACGCAGACTAAACTGCTGAGGGCATAAAGAATGAATTAGCGTGAGGCGGTACTTTTTAACATCGTTGCAGATGTCTCAGAGCACTCACAGGGGCAGCTGCAGAGGCGTTTCTGCCAGTGACACTCTTTTTCTGCTTCTTATTTTTATGGCTTTTATTGCTTTGTTTACACACACAGTTGTTTAACCAGCAGTTTGACATAAGGATTTTTAATTACAGAGTGTTACGAGTGATGTTGTGGTCATCAAATCCTCTAACTACCAGCTTATATTCCTTAGTCACTAATTGGGACTTATTTCAGTGGCGAACCATTCATTGATGAATCTTTTAAACATCACAGACCAACATTACAGCTCTGTCAGCCACAAACACTGTGTAAGGTTAATATATTCCTTATAACATCATGAGAATGTTAAAATTACAAACGTTGGATCATTTCAAGGTTACATGAGTAGTTTGGGGGACTTTTATTATTTATTTATTTATTCTCAGATCAACCATGTAGAGTCCATTGGGAACAGACATGTCATGTAAATTTAAACAGTACAAATCCAACTAATTGAACCAGAACCATGTCACTGTATCATTAGCACATAGTGATGTAGCAGACATGATATTGATATGCTAGCAGGCAGCATTTCCTTTAGAGAGTCCTCAGCAAGGCTAAGCCAAGCTAACCCTGCTAACGCCCTAAGCGATACTTCTTATTTTGGCTTCATCAGCAGATCTGGAGTATGTGAGCTGCATTTGCCCCTTCTACTGGGTGTTTACACTGTTTAATGTTTTATCTAGAGGATGACTAAAATCTCTGTGAACAGTAAGAAAAAAACAAGAAGCTATTGAGAAACTATAAATCTTGTAGTACTTCTTGAGGAAAGTACCTTGTACCTTGAAAGTCTGGCATTCTCCAAAATGATTCCAGGGATTTCTACTGTTGTGAAAAATGTCTGGAACTTCCAGTTGGTCTGGTGAAGAACATGGAGATGGTTAGAAACAGTTGACAAAGCTAAAAAGCATTAGATGTGATTGAGGCAGATGTGAAGGCGAAGTAAATATAAGAGTTAACGGAGTCACATCTTTGCTCAACATGGTCCACGCAATGTGCAAACTACAAGCATTGACATGTATTGTACTGTTTCTGGAAACACAGATTGATTTTTTTCCCTTGAACACAGATTTAGTTTGATGTTTGCTGAGCTCTACAAATTCTTGCCGAATGAGGTAACATCACATTTAGGACAATGTACTTTTTTATCATCGGAATCAAGCCTTTGGCTTAAAATCTTAGCTCATGCGATGTAAATTTAGACTGTGTTTGTGGTGTCTTCCAGTCTCACTTTAGGTTCCTGCTGCTGCAAGGTTTTATCATGAACCATGACTCTGTGGTTGTTGGGGAATTCCGCAGTCAGCCAACATATCAGTGAACCAGTAGACAGATGGACACTCCCGCATGGATCTGTTGTGATTTCAGGTGCATCTAAGAGATTTATCCACCCTGTGAATCTGTCTTCACCCATGAACACATCGCATCCTGTACATTGACAGGGATTATCTTTACATTCACCATAGAAAGTGAAGATCCAATAACCTAACCCCACCCAGACCTTTGAGTGTGATATGTGTTTGCTGTTGAAAGATCTCTTTCAAGAACAGACAACAGAGGAAAACAAATAAACTGCTCACCTCAGCTTGCTCCACATAAGCTACAGAACATTTATGTAATTTCTCTACGTGTTTAGTTGAAGAAATTATTTTTAATTTTAGTGACATTTTGAGTACTCTGTGGATAAAAACTGAAACCATTAGGTCATTTTTCATCATCTTAACCTGCAGAGTGTTTTATAAGATAAATACTACATAATTTGTAACTTCTAAAACTCAAGAAATATAGTTATAAGATAAATACTACATAATTTGTAAGAATAATGTTGTACTAACTTCTAAAACTCAAGAAATATAGATTTTCTTTCACCTAACTGCAATTTCTGTTAATGCTGCATCTAATATTACGGTACAACTGTGAGGCAGCCAACAAACGATCTTCAATCCTGTTTTGCCCCCTACTGTACATTTATGGAGTTTCAGCCTGTCTACACTAAAGTTATAAATATAGGTAAAGGTGTATAAGTAAGTTCGTTACTTTAAGTTAAGATACTGAATGATCCTTAACCATATGAATTTAACATTTTTGAAAGTATTCGTTTTTAGATTGTTTCCTACGTTTTTTTTTTTCATTGGTGTATGGTCTTCCTCCTTTTTTTCATAAGTATTCGTTTTTAGATTGTTTCCTACTGTTTTATGTTTTTTTCAGTGGTGTTCCTCCTTTTTTTCATCGTTTTTAGATTGTTTCCTACGTTTTTATGTTTTTTTCAGTGGTGTATGGTCTTCCTCCTTTTTTTCATTTTTATGTTTTCATAATATGTGATGGATAAACCAACGTTTTACATTTATTTTAAATGTTGCAGCATTGCTTTGTTGCAACACATCACTGGCTTGTGTTATGAATCAATATATAGGCTGTTTTAGAAGGGGCATATTTTTATGACATCTGTATTTATTATGTTTTATGTATTATTAATATACAAAATGATGAAAAGTTACATATGATACATAAATAGACATGCACATAAAAATATATATGTCATCCTATTTTTGTGTTTGAATTGTTATTATTGATAGATTTATTGGTTAATGAATTGATTGATGGTTGTTTTTATATATTTTTTCTAAAGCAACTTTTTCTATTTTTCTACTAGTATATGGTTTATGAATTGCAAAAATGTCGAGGGTTTCGTGGTTTTTTGAGTGGGCGCTCACTTTTGGTCCTGCCCACCGCTGCCCAAACCGGAAGTTTAGCTGTTGTTGTCACACTGGAAGAAAATGGCTGCCGCTCCGACTTTTTTTCAATGAAGACACTGATATTTCCATTTCATTTCGTTTTGTTGCATCGGAGCTACAGTCGACCGCTATGCAATCCCGCAGGCAAGTCCACCCTGCTCTTTTTCTGTGCCGTCGCTGTGTTGGTTTGTGTCTGAACCGGTGTTAACTAGCTTTTATCGTGGCGGGGAACTCAGTGCTTTTGCCCAGTGGGAAAGGGGTTAGCAGGCTAATGTTAGCCGTGTTAGCCCGAGCAGCGGTCAGGCATCAACGAGCTTGTTGCTGCTCAGTCTCTCTTTCTCCACTGCTGCCTCACTTTTTATGTAAAAAGCCAAGCTCATAATTTTTACTCACTCAAAGACACGTTTTATTTGAATTTACTTTCATTGCTATCTTTAAAAATGTAAAAACATTGTCGCTCCTTAGTTTTCTATGATGTTCGTGTGTGGCATCTGACAAAGTGTCAGTCAAGCTTTTGGGCATCAGTGTTGTTTGCGCAACCTGTATGTCTGTGGTTTTGTTTTTGTTTTCATTTGATTTTTTTTCCAACACAGAATGTTGTGTCTCCACTGTGCTGCAGATTGTGAATGGTCACTATAGGAAGGTGACAGTGTGGGGCAGAAAGGACAGCATCGTCACTCGCCTTGCAGCTGGCGGTGGATCACAATGGTGAGACCTATCTCCTTCTTCTCCTGGGGGAAAAACCCTCAAATGTGGTGTTTGGTAGTTGATAATAAGATTGTTCAACCACAGCCCTGTGTCAAACTCACCCACCATCTTCATACTTTTCTGATCAAGCTGTTTCTTTTCACCCTCAGCAACAAGTATTGGAATATGCATTGGATCGAGCCGAGGTAAAAACACACCTTTTTAAGTATTTGTGTTGAAAATAATTGGTCCTGATTTTATGTGCTGCATTGGAGTGCAGTTTGCATTATTTTCTCTCACTATTTCCTAATCAAATGTGTATTATATTATTCAGTACATTGTTGAAGGAGCTCGACAACGGCCAGCCAGAAAAAGAATCTCTTCCGGCGGGAGAAAAAGTCTGTACCAAAAGCTCTATGAGCTGTATCTAGAGGAATGTGAGAAGGAGCCAGAGTTGAAGGTATATATTACACACACTGGTCACTGATTTTTTTTAAACAGAGATTAACTACTGCTATACTTACTTACATACTTTTATTTTCTTAGAAAAGACTTGTGAGAACATAACGAACCCATATTGTTTTCAGGTCACAGTATATACACAGGACATTGTGGCAAAATATCACAAAGGTGTTTTTTGTTTTTGTTTGTATTATTCCTATTTTGCAGAATTTAAGAAGAAATGTGAATCTACTGGAGAAGTTGGTATCTCAGGAGTCAGTGTCTTGTCTGGTGGTAAATTTGTACCCTGGGAATGAAGGCTATTCTTTAATGCTCAGGGGCAAAAATGGATCCGGTGAGTGAGGTCGTGATAAGCAGATACTGGAGCTGATTTGGTGACATATTGGCAATAGTAACATTGTCTTTTTTTCTAGATTCTGAAACAATTCGTCTGCCATATGAAGAAGGTGAACTGCTGGAGTACCTGGATGCTGAGGAGTTGCCCCCTGTTCTGGTGGATCTGTTAGAAAAATCACAGGTTTGTATAAACGTCTGAACATAAGAAGCGATTTAAAAACTATACAAAATATATGTAGAGTACAATGGAGAGAGCAACACTGGGTTTCAGATCCTGACACCCCAGGATGTAAGACTATTCTTGGACCATCTACACCTTTTTATCTGTTGATTGACAGTCACTGATTCCTTTATATCCCAGGTGAACATCTTCCACTGTGGCTGTGTAGTAGTAGAAGTAAGAGACTACAGACAGTCAGGAAATACCAAAATGCCCACCTATCAGAGCAGACACGTGCTGTTGAGGCCTACAATGCAGGTAAACTAACAGAATATATGGACCATTTCTTGACATCCAATCAAACAACTGAGGCACTGTAAAACTTAAGGTAATATTTGTGTCTTTTTTTTCTGTCTGTCTTTCACTTACAGACTCTAATCTGTGATATCCATGCCATGACTAGTGACCACCACAAATGGACACAGGTAGAACATCAATATCAGTTTTGTAAAATAATCCTACTAAATCCTACTTTGACTTTACTTCATAATTAGTCTACATATGTGTTTATTCCTCTGCTGTTTTATTCCTTTGAACATTTACTCAGTCTGTATAGGACATGGTCTGTTTCTGTTTGTGTTTGTAAGGCAGCAGCACAGTGCACTGTATTGTTTTCTCATCTCTTGTCTTTTGGTTCTGTGTCAGGATGACAAACTACAGCTGGAGAGTCAGTTAATTTTGGCCACAGCTGAACCTCTGTGTCTGGACCCGTCCATCTCTGTCACCTGCACAGCCAACCGTCTGCTGTACAACAAGCAGAAAATGAACACTCGCTCCATGAAACGGTAGACAATCATAAATATATTTAATTTATCTTGTGTTTGAAATGGTTGACATGGATAAGAATTCATTAAAGTGTGAACAGGAATGTTCAGTGCATGACATTTACAGATAAACATCTTGGTTTGGATTGTAGGTGTTTCAAGAGACACTCTCGAGCTGCACTGAACAGACAGCAGGAGTTGTCCCATCTGCCCATACCACCGCAGCTACGACTGTACGACTACCTGCAGCGAAGGAAGGAGAGGAAACCGGCTCCTGCCATTGACCTGAAGATCTCAAAGATCGGAAACGTGAGTGAAAGTTGCTTTCCAATCATCTAAAAATCTGCCCTGCCAAAGCAGTTCCTTTCAGCATATTGAGAGTTCTTACTTCAACGTGTTTGTGTTTCCTCTGCCACTTTTGCATCTTCTTGGCCGTCCTTACATCACAGTGTGTAGACATGTGGAAGCAGAACAACTGCCAACTAACTGTACCGAAGGAAATTGATGTAAGCAGCTCAGTGAGATACAGCCGTCATCACCCACTCACTTCACACTCAAATTGATACCAGAGACCTTAACATATCAGATGGATGTGCTTGTGTCTTTGTTATAGGTGGAAAAATACGCTGTGGTTGAGAAATCGCTACAGCTGGAGGATTCACAGCCCACGACTGTGATCTGGCCCGCTGAGGCAAGTGTGGCAGAAGCATTAACATTCCCTCAGGGAGTCAATCAATAAGGCCTGCCAGTGGTTGTGTACACAATGCACAGTAGCAGTGTGGCCTCTTGTTTTACTCCTAGATCAGAGGTAGATCAGAGTAAACTGTATCTTGTGCACAGTCACAGTAAAGGATCTTATCTTGGTAAAATGTCAAAATCTTATCTTGGTAAAACGTCAAAAATGGAAGTTCAGTCAAAATTTGTTCAGTCAAATTCTGTTCAACATTTTATTTTAGCAATTTTTTTGCACACACTATTCACAGGAAGTAATAGACGACTACACTTTTGAGTGTGAGGTTGGCGGCCAGGCACAGAGGACCAAGGTGTCCATCTTCCAGTCCCTAGGAGATCCACTGTTTTACGGGAAAATCTACTGCGCTAAAGAACCAAAAGCAGAGGAGGACAACTCTGACCTGAAGCTCATACATCCACCGTAAGGAGACAAATTTAGGGAAATAAGTGATTTAATATAAAGTGCTACTCTTCATTAGCTCAACATCATCTGTGGTGTATCATTTGCAGCTTCCTTATAGGCTCAAAGATAGATGCAGATCGGTGAGTCACTTTTCTCCTTACTAGTATGATGAGTCTGTCAGACCATGGCATAATTTCTTATTTGTTGTGTAGGTTTCTTACTCAGTACAAAGGAGTCTATGAGAGAGATGTCAACTGTCAGGTCAAAATGTCCCATAACTCAGGCAGCGTGGGACAGGGGCCTCCCTCCCCCAGCAAGGATGAGGTAAAGGTGTGAAAAGTGACTTTCTTTATTTTTGGGGATATTATCAATTATCACTTTTTGACATTTACAAATTGCCTGGTTAAATATTTAGAAAACAATCAGTTCATAATGCTTCCTCACACCTGCAAGTCATTTCGCTGGACATATGTTTTAAAGAATTACACCAGAAGAGGGTACACAACAAACAAAGCGTGGTTATGGTTAGCAGCAGCAAAAAGAGTTAAAAGATCAACTAGAGATAAGAAGCAGCTCATCCTTTTTTTTCTAGAACATTACATACCTCCGCCCCAAATATACTGGGCATGTGTGAGCCAAGACTTCTGCTGACTATGTCTATTCTTTTGTCTAATGTGTGTAATAAATGTCGTGCAGGGTGATGGCATTGCGCCACTTGTCCAGACGTCTGTTTTGGGAAAAGGGGTGAAGCACAGACCCCCACCCATCAAACTGCCTTCAGGATCAGGCGGCAGCTCCTCAGGTGAGTTGGCTGCTGCTCAGAGGAAACAAACATCCAGTCAGCACACACCCTGTTGACACACGAAGTGAAACACAAAACGGAATAAGTAGTCTAATCCACCGAGCTATTTATTATTCTTTTTGTACTGCGGTGTCTTATTGTCTTATTGGAAGCACGGTGAAAAGTAGAGTAGATGAGACATGTTGTTGGAAAAGCTGTGTAATTGAGCCCTGAATGGCAGAAGGGGAAAATTTCTGGGCAGCGTCTGTTGTTGTGCTTTGATTTATTGCAATAGCAAATGTGTGAAAAGGTCAAGCCTTTGGAACTGTACTGCAGAGCACACAGAGCTCTTACAAAAACATTCAGGAATAAGAAGTTACTGTTTAGGTTAAGCTGAAGACACAGTGCATGATTGTTTTTACCAGAACTTACCAAAAAAAGATAAAAACTCTGCTAAAATCCTTCTGTCTGTTTGTTCTCCAGGGCATTTTCAAAACCTGTAACGACTGTGTGTTGTTGTCATGTGTCCACCGTGGACTTGAATATTTCTAACGTCGGTCAACTCCTCCCTCGTCTCCAGGTAATCCTTACAGTTCACAAAACACCAGTGGTCTGCTCAAGTGTCCTACGCCTCCTCCAGCCAAAAGCCAGGCTCTGAACAGGAAGCACTCCATGGAGATTGGTCAGGTGGGCCTACTGTCGCCTTCTTCACTGTCGCCCATGGGATGCACACAGAGTGAGTGAAGCTGCAGCTGATAAACATTTAAAACTTGAAATTTTGCAAAGAATTCTTCTGCTTAATGTTTTCAAAATAATCTGTAAGCAAGCTGTCAAGCACCCAGGTCTTAAGAAATATTGGAGCCTAAAGTACAGGAGTATATCTGTAACTTGTCATGTTCAGAAAATATTACATCACCGCAAGTGCATTAATTAATTAACACAAAGCCAACTGGCTTTTCACATTGTCAGAAAAATGGCTGAAGTTTTGACAGGAGTAGAACCTGATCGTTTTAAACTCCACTCTCCAGTCATTATTTTAGATGGTTTACTTCCATTTAGCTGCGTGGCATTTGTTCAACAGTTAAAATTGCCAAAAATATTCCAGCTGTGAAATGGCAGCTTAAAAAGAACCGTCCAAACATTTTCAACACAAAATCATTGATCATTAGTATATTTCATTTGAGAGAACTTCGGGAATCGTGACAAGAAATTTGAGCATTGACCAGAGAGCTAAAAAATTTTTTTACATTTGACATTTTGTGTTGTTTATTTTTTTCTACTAAAAAAGTTTCAACCTGAAACAACAGCCATTGATGTTGGAAACGGTCTGATATTTGCTTTAAACAACTGTAAATCTTCACTACTAGTGGCTAAAGGTGTCTTTGTTTTTTTTGTTTTTTTTTTTTTTAATTCATATTGTTCCTTAAGGATCCGGTACCCCAAAGCCATCCACCCCCACTCCCACCAACACACCCTGCTCCACACCTCACCCCTCTGACTCCCTGTCCACTCCTCTCTCAGTGACCCCTACCCCCTCAGAAACTCCCATGGTTCAAAGCCAGTCGCAGCCCACCCTCCTCACGCCTTTCGCCCAGCAACAGCTGGCTCTCAGTCAGCCTCTGCCTGTCATGACCATTCCCCTGCCCACCATGGGCACGTCCATCACCACGGGAACCACCTCATCGCAGGTCATGGCCAACCCCGGGTTGAATTTCATCAACGTAGTCAGCTCAGTGTGGTAAGAAAATAAAGTCTGTGCTGCCACCTGCTGGACACTTCGAGCTGTCCCTGACCCCTTTGTTTTGTTTGAGCAGCAGTCCCCAGACCTTAATGAGTGGCTCGAACCCTATGTTGGGAGCAGGCCTTAACCTGAGTGGAATACTGCCATCTGGAGGGTTAATGCCCACCATGCCATCTGCAGCACAGCCAGGTAAGATACCTCAAAGCCTAATCTTCTCACCAATATATATGAGTGATGTCTGAGCACTGAGTACTGACCTATTTTAACATTTTTTATTGTGAGAGAATTTTTGACCAAAATCTTCCTGAAATTTTTTACCTTTTATAATTGTATAAAATTGAAAAAAAAAAACATTTTATTTCTTCTTGTCTTTACCTATTCTTGACAAAAAACAAATCACACACACGTTGTTCCCTATGTAGTTTGTGGTTTTGTCCAGCTGAGGGCGCTTTAGGCACAGCATTACTTTGGACGATTCCTTTACAAAAGAGAAATGTAAATGGAAGGTTATTTTTCTTAGTCATTTACAGAATCTGAAGTTAATTAAAGGCAAACTGGCAAAAGGCAGTAGTTAAACCTGTAGACTATCCAATGTCTCTGTTTTTATTTTTTATTTTATTTTGAATAAAGATCACAGGTCTATTGTCTGGAGTTGTACAAGCATGACAGTTATTTCTGATTTGTCTTACAGGGAGTCATTTTGGCCTGAACAGCAGCACTGGGTTGAGACCATTAAACCTCCTGCAGGTATGAACCATTTAGTCAGCCACTAAGTCAAGAGGGATAACCTCTTCTGATAAAAAATATTTAACAAGTATAGAAACCCTTCTTAGTTTCTCTGTGAGCTCTGATCAATCTGTTAATTCTCCCATTCCCAGATCCCCACTGGTCCTCTCATCTTTAACTCTCTGCAGCAGCAGCATCAGCTGTCTCAGTTCTCCCCACAGCAGAGTCAGTCGGCCACGTCCAGTCCTCAGCAACAGGGCGAGACGGTGAGTTTGACTCCCACATCTGCAAGAACAGACAGGCAAACGCAGCCAAGAGGTTTAATGTCATTAAGGTGATAAATGAGGCGCTGCCCACTCTGAGCTGGATGAAGTTTTGCCACAAGAATGTCAAGTCGTGAAATTAAACTCCTTACGATGAGTTAGAGCAGCCGTCATCATCCAACAGGTTAATGACCGCAGTGTGTATCCACATATTTAGCCTCGCTGCAAAGAACTTTTGGAAGTGACCGGGCCACTGCAGCCGACGCCAGGGCTTGAGTCACGGTGGAAAATCTATTCACAATGACTTCATGACAGACATCAAATGACTGTGATTCAAACAAGTGCAAGTTTGAACGGAGCTACCAAGAATAGTGGGAGAGAAGCCCAGAGTGAGCCAGAGCCAAACTAATCCTGGCCTCTTCCAGCAGCTGTCACTGCTGCCAACACAATGGTTGGATCAGCAGTATTCCAGGCTCGCACACATAAGAAAGCACTCAAATGAATAACATGTTTTGCTGTTTGGATTTTTAAAACGGTTTAAAACGGGCCGTTGTTTGTGAATTCAGACTAAAATGAAATGGAAAAAAAAAAGAAATTGGATCAGGAGACAGGTTAAAGTTTTAATTCATTTTATCACCACTGTCATGGAAGTCATAATTTATGGTGTATCTCTTGGTAGGCAGTAGATCTACCAATAGAGGTGATTGTCATCCAAACAGAAGGTTGAAGGTTCAATTCCCCATGCTTTTCTGGATGAGGTACTTGCATTGTTAATCATGCAGGAACACTCCACGGTCGTAGTGCTGTCAGTGTGAAGGTGTCATGAGTAATTTTGATTAATCACATTCACAATTAATTAAATTATCCACAGCTGCTGTGATGTATTGAATTTCAATTGTTTGACAGCCCCATCATTCTGACAGTGAGTGCATGTGCATGGAATGATTGCGTAATGACTTCATAGACTGACTTGTGCGACCTTTGACCTCCCCTACAGGGCGAGCAGGGGTCAGATCCAAGTTTAGGAAACCAGCAAACAGCAGTCATCAACCTGGGAGTTGGAGGCTTCATGTCGCCACAGGCAGCAGGTATGAAGCACCAACACCACCCGTCACAAAACACACACATACACACACACACACAACTTTAATACACACACGTTTGTCTTCATTCAGTTTTTAAATGTGTGTATAAAATGACCATGACACCATGTCACTAACTGGTTACTAATATAACAATAGTCACTAATGTGTTCATTGTTGTAATGACTGTACGGTAGACACATGGTCTTAAACTAATGATCATTTGACTGAAGTTGAAGCCATTGTTCCTCTGAATGAGGCATGTGACCTCTGACAGGAGAGACTCAACTTCCCCTTCTTCTCTGCTACATCTTCTCTTTCTTCTGTTCTCTGTTCTGTTTTTTTATTATTATTTTCCCCCTACCCTTTTGTCCTCCTCCCTGTTTTTCTCTCCTCTTTGTCACTCGTGCTTTTCATACTTCATCCATTCATACTCTCCGCTCGACATTCACTCAAAAAAAAAACATCCTGCACTGATGGCCTTTTTTTCATTTGTATTTCTTCTCTCCATCTTTCTGTGCTGTGTGGGTCTGCATCATTGAACCCTCCCTGTCTCCCCCACACACCCCCCCATACTTATTCACACTATCATCGCTGTTTCCTTTTGTCCTGTACTCTTCTGTTTTTATACTTCACTCCATCCTTTTTCCTCTGTCCTTTTGTCCCACTGGCTTCCTTCCTACTTCCCTACCCTTCCTCTCTTTCTCCCCCTCCACCTCCTCACCCCCTTAGTGCTGTCCCAGTTGGGCTGTGGGCTGGACAGGTCTGGGCCCCCGCTGCCTTCTCCAAGGCTTCAGCAGCAGCACCAGCCACAGATCCAAGTAATACAGCAACTTTAACATCTGTTCACACACATCTACACTCAGGCTGCATCATCACACTACTTTCCATACCTGTCAAGAGTGGGCTGCATGTTGAACCACATTAGTGTTGTAATTAGGGATGCAACAAAACAGTTGGCTTGATGTTTTATTTATTTATTTATTTTCATTTTTGGTTCGTGTCACAGAATCAGTATGGGATATATTTACCAAGATATACACACACAGAGCGTAGTCACAAAACAAGATTTGTGTTTAAACGGAGCCACTGAATATGATTCCGGTCCTTGTAGTACATATACCAGGCCTGTATGTGGTGCTGTGTTAACCACGCTGAAACCGGAAAAGAAGCCACAGACCATGGGTTTACAAACTGTAAACAAACTTGAAAAGGCAGAGATGGCTAACAGTAGCACAACAAATAGCCAAGTTAGCTTCTACAGAACGGTCAGATGGAGCATAGTTTCCACCCTTGTTGTTATTGTGTAATAACAAATTCCAAAGTTTATATACTTTTCAAAAAAAAAATCTTGAATATTTTTGGAGAATATGACGCAGAGTTTTCTGTTATACCAAAAACAATACATTTTTTTTGTTGTTGTTGTTGCATCCCTAGTTGTAAGTAATTTCTACCTTCTAGTCTGTGCAGTCCAGTCTGAAAGATAATGTTTCACACAATGTTTCAACTTTGGGTTGCATTGCAGTGGTAACTGTAGTCAAAGTGTTCAACATCATTTTGTTTGATAATCATCATGATACTTTGCAGATTTTTTTTCTCTTTGTTATAGATATTGTCATTCACTCCATCTTTTGGTTGTTTGTTCAGTTGACATGTTGTTTTACCAAGATCACAGCAGTCCCAGCAGCTGCACACACACACATTCACACACAGCTTGTGGCATTCCCAGATGGCACCGACTAACACACACACAGCCACATCACTCAAGTTAGCCTCACACAGGTCGTACTGTTGAAATGTAGCTCATGAAAGCGGTGACGCCTTAAAGCATGAAGCAGAAAGTGTTTGGAGTTCTTTTTCCTTTGCCCTGTTGAAGTTGCTGACTTACTCTGAGCAGGTTGCTGAGCTGCATGTGTGTCGCTGCCAGGATCACAGCCAATAATTTGTGTCTTCAGAACGTCACTGGTGCTGCTTGACTGTACTCCGCCTCACTCCCCAACACACCCTGACCTCAGTTTGTGCCTCCTCTTCTTCATCCTCTTCTTCCTCTTCCTCTGTTCTCTCTGCAATCCATTAACCCCCTCTTTGGTGTGGCTTCACACAGTTCTGTTTGTCCTACCAAGCTTCAGTGCAGCTTCACTAACTGTTGCCACGAATACCGTCATGAATACAGTTGAGGACAGTATCATTAGGCACATAAGATAATTCAGTTCTAACGGCTGTGGATCATAGTGTTTTCACGCAGCATGTAGGAACATCTCAGCTGAATCTGCTACAATATTGTACTTTGCATACAGGCGTTCTCAGGAGAAACCCAAGCATTGGTGGTAAGTGAACCTAGGCCACTTGATGCTCACACAGAAAAAAAAACTTCCCCATAAACAAGAATGTGAAATGATTTAATAACAAAAATCCTTCAACAGTTTAGAACACATTTTGCTTTCTACAAATTACATTTACTCACATTGACTTCTATATTTTATACATTTTGTTGTTTTTTTTTTACTTTCTATATGAAGTCCAAATAAAGTCGCTTTTTTTTTTGCTTTTTTTAAAGCAGATTGGCTCAAACTTGCTGTGAAAAAATAATTTCTCAGTATCTATAAAGTAAATTTTCAGTCATTTTCAACACTATGGTCTTTAACAAAAACCCACACATTGGTACTGTAGTCCAATTCCAAACACACACCTTAGATCCACAGACAAAACAACGCAAAAAAACAAAAAAAAAAAAACCCACCTCTGATATTTTACTGTTGTGCCGTTTTTCAGTTGCAATTCTTGCAGCACCAAATGCAGCAGCAGCAGCAGCAAATGGCTATGGGGGCAGCAGCTCCACAGGGGGGAGTGCCGCGGCCACATATCGCCAACCAGCCAAGAAGTAAGAGGAAGAGGAGCACGCCTCAGCCGCTCCCTAAGTCATGACAGACTGAAATCGTACTAAAAAAACAAAGCTACACCAGGACGTGAATAATTCATACTGTGCTCTGTCTGCCTCACTGTGGACACTTCTTCAGACAAAGACAAAAAAAGACATTTTCTGCCATTTTGTCTGTCTTTTTCTAGCTGAAACATTTGAACAAGAAGCCTTATGCTGGAAGAACCTGAGACGTATTTTTCTGAGATGAATCCATGGTTCTCGTTAGTGACAGGTTTCTTTCCACAAATCATTTCTTCCGTCGGAAATTCTTTTTTTTTTTCTTCTGCAGAGGCTGCGTGGACTGAGATGATCATGATGCAGCCTCTCAGAAGATTCCCCATGAACCTTCCTCATCTCCCCGCCTCAGTTTGGTTGGTTGACCCTGGTAGAAACTGCCCTTTAAGCACCGATCCCCACTCAGCTTTTTTGTCCACATCGAATCATCCACATCAAACCATTACATGTGAAATGCAAATCGGATCTTGGAGTAAGTAGTGCCTGGGGGCAGCTCTCTACCTCTCAGTCTGTGAGAACATTTTTTCACTTCTTTATCTGTGGACAACTTTCCTGGCACAGGGCTCAACTGAGGTCTGAGATCAGGTGAGATGACATACCTGCTTCTGGACAGCACAGTTTCTGAAAAAAAGGCATTTCCCCTTTTTAATGAGTTCAGGAGCCACGAGTGTATTCTTACAGGACATCAACAGAGTGTGTGTGTGTTTGCGTTTGCAAGCGTGTGTGTGCATTGAGAGTGTGTGAAAAAAGAAGTTTCTGGACACTGAGAAATAATTTTTTAAGCAGTCTTTGTCAGCAGTTTTATTGTTATTAAAAAGAATATATATTGACAGTGGAAAATACAGCTTTTAGATAAAAAAACAAACAAACAAAAGCATCTTCTCTCCAGCTGGTTATTTTTCCATGTTCACACTGTGAATGACTTTGTTGATGAGTTTCTGTATCTCTCTCTGTCGCACCGTCGCTCGGCTCATGCACTCCTGCAGCTTCTCTCCTGACATGGCTGTTCCACCTGAGCCACAGGAAGAAAAAAAACAAAAACAATTAGCATCAACGTTTTTGCATCTCACTGTAGCACAAGATTCATTTAACACAATGGGTACATAGACTGTTCATACGGACCTGGTTTGTGTAGACAACATAGTCGTTCTTCTTCATCTGTCACCACAGTGAGCTGAGCTGTAGCCAGACTCTCCTCCTCATCTGTGGGGTCCACCATGAGAATGGAGCTGCAGAGACAGCAGAATATAATGACACTTAAATACCATCATCGTCTTTATGCCAACCTGGACTAAAACAGAAGGAAAAAAAACACTCACTCATCAAAAATAGAAAATGACGTAGCAACGGGATGTCTGTGGATGTTGAGACTGTGTCTCTGGTCCACGTTCACCTGTGGTAAACTGGTCTCTTTGTTGACGGTGACTTCAGGGAGTTTAGCTGTGAACGATAAAGGACCTGTGAAAGTAATGTTCTCAGAGAACGTGCATTGCAGTGTTATGGTGCAATTTGTACTTATTATCATGCTGGGACCCAATTTCCAGATCAAATAGTTACCATTGTAAAACAGCCTGTAGGTGACAGTGGAGCAAGTTACAAGTTTGATCTTATGTTTGAGCTCAAATAATAAACGTGGTCGAAGGCATTACCAAGGTTAGCGGGGGTGGGTGCAGACTCAAAATAATCAATTTCCACGTTACCATTGTAAAACAGCCTGTAGGTGGCAGTGGAGCAAGCAGCGCACTACAAAGATAGAACGACAACAGCTACAAACTTACTGTTTTTAAGTGCAGCGAGCAGTGCGACAACACATGCATCCAACAAGTTCCCATCATAGTCGAGACACATCAGGTCGCAGTAGAGAACCCAGCACAGCTGCAAACGTAATCAGCAGTTTTTTATTTTAAAAAAAAGTAATCTGTGTCCATGCATGAACTTTAACAGCAACGCAGCAGCATATGATGGTAGGTTCTGGTTTCACCTTTCCTCGCTCTATACACAGATCTTCTGGTTGTATCACTTCAGAGCTGCAAGACGCAAAACAGAAAGTTTAGGTTGAGGTGAAAAACACCCTCCTGAGAAGGAGCTCAGTAAAGTATGTTCTGACTTTATGCACCTTTCAATTATATCTGCGATAAACTGGCTGGCAGCCTGGGCTAGTTCTCCTGGAGGGCCCGGTCTGAACCGAGATGAACACAGGGGCGGCAGGTCCACGTTTGGTACTGACGAGAAGAGACAGGTCCAAGTTGGTAAAGAAGGGTTTACAGGAGAAGTCCAAACAAACATGTATAAATTGATGACAAACAGGTGACAACGATTCATTTACTCACCAACATAGCCTTTACCAGGTGCTTCCACTGTTGGGTTTGTCAACTCCTGCGCTCAAAAGACAGAGAAAAAGAAAAAAAAGGTAGGTCATAACAAAGAGTAAAATCTTTACTAATTTCAATAACCTAAATTTGTAAACTTTTACCGCTTTGATTCCACAGATGACTGTCGTGTTGCCGTACTTCACCAGAGCCGAACCGTCTGCCGTCGATATCGAGTCTGCACAGAATACGATCTAATCACTGAACACTGCTGTTCAAATTTAAGGTACCTTAACACAATATAAACTATTATCCAGGACTGGTAAAGATATCGGTAAAATGCCGTTATGATGGATGGACAATGGTCAAATTCACTGCATCTCACCGATGTTCAACGTGGTGGTTCTGAATTCTGACAACTCTCGTCCATCAGGTCGACAGTTTTCTTTCTAAAAAAAGAGGCCCATTTAGATTTTTTTTTTACGATTCCGTTGCTGTTTTTATTAACATTACTTCATGAATTGAACACCTTGTTGATTAATGACATACCAGAAAACTCCTGTGGTACTCCAGAGGTTCTGCAGTCCTGAAAAATAATAGAATTAAAACTACATTACAAGCAGCAGTGACGTATATGCTACTATAGATATATTTGTGTCACTCTCATTTGTTATATAAACTAACTCGTGAAAAAAACATTTCGTTATGCCTCCGTTATTGACAAGTACAAGCTCAGAAGAGAAAAAAACGTATACGTGTCCGTAACACTAGTTTCCGATAACTTCCGTTAACAACTTTTTTTTTACCGCAAACAACTGATTAAACCAATATATTAAGTTTAACCATATTACACAGTAAATATGTATTAAACAAAATGAAAACATTATCCACTGACTTACTTGAATCCGGCCGCCATGATGTTTTGATTGACCACGTGGGTTCAGTTTCCGCAGTACGGTGGCCGGGAGCCGGAGACAAAAAAGTCGACTGGAATAACTAAAAACACAATTTAAAGCAATGGACATAACCATATCCGTTACGGTTGAGTTTGTCAATTTGAGTTCCCTTTGCTATATTTTATACATGAATACATATATGTATCTAAAAAAAGACACAAATTTTGTCCGACGTGAGTGTATTTGGTGCAGGACGATAGGTACCGACGGCGCGTGCGCTATTAAAGTCCGGAAGTTACGTCCGAAATCACCTACGCTGCTACAATTAAAAATAAAAATGTTTTGAAATTTTTTTTATGTTAAATTATATTTTAGTGCTCGGGTGTTTTTTCGTGAGATAACGTTTACCACAGCTAGGTAAGAAAACAATTAAAATGCTTTTTAAATTCATTTTCACCGACTAAATGTTGGGGCACGTTCGGTCAGTTGAGAATTGTCAAATTAATTAAATTGGCTATTTGTGGGGTTTATTTGGCTTCTCTTTTTGATTAACTTATGTCGAAAATATCTTTGGATAACCTTTTTCAATTAATTGTGTGCCAACATATTTTAATAAATAGTATGAATTTTAGGGAGTTTGTTGTATTTAGATACCGAGTTGCATGCTTTTCGTTGCTAACGTTTTAAAAGCTAACTTTTGATAGTTTCGGGATTATCCGGTTTTTTAAAATCAAATTCTGTCTGTTTTTTAATTTCCTGAATGATATTTTTATCATGGTAACTTTTGATAGTTTCGGGATTATCCGTTTTTTTAAAATCAAATTGTCTCTTTTTTAATTTCCTGAATGACATTTTATCATGAAGTTGCAGTTAGTTGGTTTTTGTTTCATGTCAGAAGGCTCTCCCTGTCAAATGTTAGCCTGCAAAAAAAAAAACAATGAAGCCACATTTTGTGAATTTCAAGTTTTATTTTTAGTTTATTTCCCGAACATCTCCAGACATCACACTGAGGAGATATCATAACTTTAGGAACTACTCAGGAAAAAAAGACCTTTAAATCTGAGATCCATTTTCGGCATAACATGATTTCACATTTAAAACATTCACATACAGGCCTGTAGTAGATTGACTTCTCACAAACACAACTGTTATTATAAGATTCTGCAAACAGAAGAGACATTTACTGATCTTTTCTTTTGGCTCTTTCGGAAACATTATCCTCAATATTTAAATTATTGAGTCATTTTACATGATTTTATAAGTCAAATATCGGCAATAAATGATAAAAATAAAAAAATCCAAAGGCTTTACATTAACGCCTTTTCTTTTCAGTACCTTAACTAAGAAACAAAAATGTCATCAGAGTGAATTTTAAAATACTGTTCAGACTAAATAGCACATGCATTTCATGAAGTAATATTGTGAAGTAAATGAGCTTGGTCACACACAAAAAAAATTCCTAAAATAAAAATGTGTCAAGTTAACACCTTTTAGTGTACGGTAATTTCATATCATTTAAGTTAAGAAATAAACTCTAAATCATTTCATTTCCATTTTTTTAGGGCACGGATGACCTGTGTTTACAGAATGACAGACAGACAGAAGCTTAGAGTGTATTCATAAATGTAAGTACTTTTTTTTTTAGTCCACACTCTTAATGGGGCATTGGAAAAGAAAAAAAAAAATCAGTAAAGACAGTGACTTAACATCTACTACCTTCTGAACATAGAGCATTTATCATTAAAAGGTCAAATGTTCCAAAAACAAAAACAAAGATGATCACACTGAGCAAATCAAATATATACAAATCTACATCAATGTCATAGAACTTCTAAATAGGCACTTTAATTGAAAACAGTTCAGCCAGCCCTCAAGAGTCACATTTTATATAATGCTAAATCAACACAAAAAGACACAGTGGTTTTTGATATTATGTAATGATAGAAAACCCAGGAGATGTCCGTCCAGTGTTTTATGTCAAAAGTAACCTCTGTTGCCTCGTTCAAACGAGGCACCCACACTCACCCACACAGTCCAAATAGATTCTGTGCAGAAATCACAACATAAAAGTAAACTAACCTTGATTAGCCCAATACACAGTCACACAGAGGGAAGCTCGAGTTTCCACATAGAAAGAACAAACCAACATTTCCGAACACTTGGATTAAACTGCAATAGTACATTTTGCATTTGTAACAACCATACAACTAGGATGAAGAGCTAAAATAAATGTTTCCACCGCAAAATATCGGGTGCATCGTGGCGAAAAAGACAACCACGGCCGTGGACTTCTGAGCAGCTCGGGTCTTTAATACAGCGTGACCTAAATCAAAACTCATTTAGGTTTGGACTAGGGATTCACAGATACTTCTTTTAAACACGTGCTGATCCAGTGACTCTTAACTTTGATATGAGCAGCCTAATAAAACACTGCTGAATACACTGAGGTCTCTCCTCAGTTTACAGCTTAACAAGTCACATTTTCATTGAGACTTTTTTTTTTTTAACCAACCATTTATTTGTTCATGGAAACATTGCAGTCGTTCTACACATTTGAATTGATGTCTTGTTTACTGGGAAGCAGGAGACAATGTTTAAATTGAACCTTTTAACATATATATTTTTTAATTGTTTATTTACTCATATATTGACAGAATTGTCGGGGCATGAGAGGGAAATTAAACTGGCTGTAAACATTTTCCTGCTCAGTGTCCCCCCCCACACACACACACACCCACTCATACACACTGCATGCCACCCTATGACCTACAGAGTTTTGCCACTTATAGAGGGACAGCACTAGTTTGGACAATGTAAAAAGTTTACCAACTTTTCTATAAATGATAGAAACATGATAGAAACATTTTGCTACAGAATAATGAAGGCCAGATCTTCCAACTTCAGGAATAAAAATCTCCCCTTCTGCTGCACATTGTACCTTCAGACTATTTTGTTAAGTAAAGTAATCCTTCCACCTCCGAGCACTGCTATTTCACACTACAAGACATGAATAAATAAATAAATCAACAGGATGAATCATGTACAAATACAGTAAATCACTTTGTGTTAAATAAATAGAGCGTGTAAAAAAGACCAACTGAAAAGATTGGCAAAAATGATGGAAATGTTACTCATGCATTTCTTGTTAGTTTTTTTAAATGATTTTTTTTGTAGTTAAGTGAAAAGTCTTGGATGCAAAGAGGTGACAGTATCTCAACTTCCAGGTACAGTAGTGCATTCAAATTCACGATTAAATGTAGTATTCTAAAATGTAAGAATGTTAAAAAAAAAAAGATAGACAAATGGGAGAGGGCGTTGACAAATCAAACAATAAAAGACAAAACTGCAAGTGAAATTAGTTTAGGAGATTAGATTAAACCGTGTATAAGAAATGGAGGTAGAGAGACTGTTGCAAACTATGGAGACGACAGGAATTAAACAGTGGACTTCTTTAAATTACTTCTTTATATTCTCTGAAAGGGTTCCTCAGTTTGGACCACGTAAAGATGTTCAGGTTTAAAGAACACTCTTCATATTTGTCAATGAATAGTTGACTAAACTGAAGAAATGTCCCAAATAAATCATTAGTTGACGCTTTAGTCACAAAGATAAGCAGTGGGAATAAAACTTCATAACAGTGAGATTAAAGCACAAAAGGATGCTACGCAGTGGAGCAGAGGATTATTATTGGCCATAGCACAGGGGGGGGGGGGGGGGGTCTTAGAGCAGAGTGGGGTGTGTGGAAGGAACAAACAGCTTGATAAACTCTAAGTGCTACCTCCATTTCTTACAACAGTCACAGGTTGATTTGAGACTTTCCTGACAAACTGCATCCTGACAGAACCGGTTTTCTTACAGTCTATGTCTGCGAGGGTCAGAGTGTGGCGGGGAAGGAGGCGGCGGCAGAGTGACGGTGATTGGTGGGTCTATGGGGTCATCCATGGGCAGGACCAGACGGGTACCTCTGATCGCCACTTCGTGTTCCGCCAAGGCTAGCTCGTGGTCCAGGCTTTCATCGGACGGGCCGCACCCGGTGTTGGCGTTTGAAGAGAGCTTTCGGTTGATGGTGTGTGACCCGGACGCATCGGTGCTGATGGTGACGTCGGCGTACATGCTGCTCACGTTGGCATCATTAAGGATAAAGTCAGCGTCATCGTCGTAGAGTGGACCTTCATTCTAGAACGTGGAGATTATTTTTAATCAAATAAAAAAAAAATGCAATAATGAAGTAGCGGTGAGTGGCTGCATAGTGTACATATGTTTATGCATATTAATGACCCAGTTCTTCAGTTAACAATTATTGACTTATCTAATTTAATAATGCTTAATATGCATGGAGTTATTATTAAATAACCATCAATAAACAACAGAAAACAGAACTGGGATGTAACCCAGATGTTCATGAATATTGTGTATTAAATCATGAAAAAAAATACTGTTTCAAAACATGCATTAATTCATGTTGTGTTTGTGTCCTAACCTCGTAGGCCTGTGGGCTGGTGAGACACCGTGCCAGTGGTCCACAGCAGGCCGGCATCGTGGCGGTGAGAGGAGGACCACTGTGAGTCAGGAGGGGCTTCAGGTAACTACAACACAATTCCGTCAAGGACTTCACATTTTCAAAACCACATCTTAAAACATTAACATTGTTTCAAAATATTAGAGATGGTTTATGGTTCATAAGGAATTGGCTCCCTCTGCTGTTTAAAACATTAAAGTCAACATTAAAAAAAAAAAAATTGAAAATCCAGATTCACACAGTTGAAAGGATACTTCCGGTCAAAGGTGTACCAGATCCTAAAGGGCCAGGCACTCTCATGTTTGGTGTTCCTCCGCACTGACCCATCCAACATGGATGTAGTCTGTTAGGCACAAAATTATTTTTCAAAGACATTTGTCATTTTCTGTGGGATTTAACAACAAGACTGATTTGACTACCGTCGTAAGACTTACAGAGTGTTCTTGGTCGGAGTCAACGCCGACCCTGAGGGTGAAAAGGTATCAAGAGATTTAATTCATTAAAAATGGAGAAGATCGAAGAACACAGGAGGAGGAGGACTCCAGAGGTCCAGTCTTACGGTATGCTCATGAAGGACAGCATGGGCATGGTGCCACCTCCGCAGATCCAGACTGTGAAGAAGACGATCAGGAGCGTGGTGGAAAACATCATTTGACGGGCGTAGGTCGCCGTGTCACGGATTGAGAGGGCAAAGGTCATAGCTCCACGCAGACCTGAGGAAGAGAAAGGAGTGAGATGATGATGATGATGATGATGATGGAGAAAGTGCATCAACACCAGGAGCCTGTGAAGGTACTGGAGGGAGGAGATGCAGATTGATCCACAAACCATCTGAAGGACAGTGTGCTACAGAAATGTTTGATTTCTAGACTTTAATTTTTTTACTTCTTATTGTAAGTGCATTCTGACCCTTGTGTTGTTG